GGAAGCGTTCCCTTCTACATTCCTGTTTTTAACTGATCTGACTTTGGCAACCTGCCTTAAGTCAGCTTGTTCGTATTTCGCATAAGATTCTTCTTGAGACATCTGACTGTCGTGACAGCAGGATCAGGAATGAAAAAGTTTTCTTCTTCATTGGTGTCGCTATCTTTCATAGGAATAGAGCGCCGTCCCATCCACTGACATGTGTAGTGAAATCGACTTGAAACCTAAGTCAGAGAGAAAATTCGACTATGATCATGTCATACGCCCCACGCTTCGTGACTGTAAGTCCACTCGATATTCTATCTTCGTGGAATCAGGAATCATGAATGCACTTTTGCACTTCGTGCTGGTGTTTAATTCTCTTGCAGGGGAGTCCACATGTTTGGACGCCCCAAGATCTTCATGCGTAATTTCTTTCATGAGTTGAGCAATTAAGGTTCGTATGCTCTGTATCCAAAAACGGAGTGTAACGGTGTTGGTTTCCCTTTTTCTCGCTTGTTAAATCTAACATAACGTAGTTTTGAGGTCTTTTGTCTTGCGACAGTTTACGATGGTGGTTGGCCACGGACGAGGTTAACGATGCTAAATAAATCATCAGAGTCTAGTTGAGCAGCTTTTAGGAATCATCTAATTTGCCGTAGAGTTCATCAGTTGCAAACAAATTCTTGTTTACTAGTTAGGAGATTCTTCATCACTTTGGTATGAGGAATCGGAACAGGGTTCCGTTGAGTCTATCATCCTGGCCTAATCCTCAATAGAGGTTTTCTCCTCCAAGTGATTGAAATTGAAGAGGAGTTGTCCTCATTTCAGAGTTTTCTGTTTGCGCTTGGCAACATGGTTGCAAGTTTGCAAGTGGTGGCACGAGTGCGTCGATCTCGTGTTCTTCGTCATTGTCGAGAGAGGAAAAATGGGTTTTTCACGCAACTGTTTCTCGAAATGCGGAACGCATGCTTTCTTGACCATCTTCATGGTGAAGGAATAGGTTTAGGGTAGCTGAGAGCTATTGTGTTTGTTAACAAAATCACTACGTCAAACTAGTGTAAAGATCTTTCAGTGTTTTGGTTTGAGAGAAATGAAAGTTATGAGAGAGTTAGAAAGCTATGAAAACTAATCAACGAGAGAAGATCACATCAAAGGGATCGTAGATCTGCTTCCCGCGGGAGACTATAAAGTGTGAAAGAGTAGGTTGTGGTAGTAACCTACGTCTCTCCACGATCCTAAACGGAACGCGTGGAAGGTTTGTCTAGCCTGGATCTAGTAGCGTGGAAGTACTCACGCTGGCTAAATATCTAGAGCGATGTTTCATCATCAACCTAGTATGACTAGCGCGGTCATTGAGAACCCTGTCTCAGATTTGACTATTCACGAGAGACTCAGTCATGAGTCGAACTCAAACCCTATCTAGGATCGAGTCGCGAATAAGGCTAAGAGCCGTGTATTGCATTTATGATGAAGCTTGTCAGAACAGTGATAATCCTTGGGGTATCAGCTACCATGACCAGCACACCAGAGAGCTTCAAACTGTCCAGTGTCGAAGCATCTTTGCTCAGGACCACACTCATGAGGTAGTCAAGAATTACTTCCACAAGAAGAAACTTGGAGCAGAGGCAATGTGGACGTGTTCAACTGAAACAGGAGAAATTGCTGCAGCTGTCTTGGTTCCTTCAACAAAGACAATCCACTTCTCCCATGCAGCAAAACAGTTGTCGCGAAGGGAGCATTTCAAACCAAAGGTGATGTACAGCGATACCTGGCCCTGTAAGAGTGACTATTGGTCCATCCTGCTGGGAAACACAGTGCAGGGGAGACTTGGTTTGTTCCATTATATTCAACGAATCATACACACTCTTAAAAAGGGCCATGCTGATCACTTACCATCTGTGAGTGTTCTTTTAAATGCAGTCTATGTATACAACAAAGACGACATGGAGAAGCTGATCGCTGCATTGAAAGCTGGAACTGTTAATGGAACAAAATATACAGAAGATGAGATTGATGAGATGAGAAGCACTCACAACTTCCGAGAGAGATATGGGAAATACCTTTGTAAGGAGATTCGAGCTCCAGGATCTATGAGAGTACTCTTGCAAGGATGGTTCAATCGATTCAAGTGTGCAGCCAGTGATGAATCCTCTGGCATTGCAGAAGGTCGCCTGGATCCTCGAACACAACAGACATTGTTCAGCTCTGAAACAAAAACGGCAGTGGTAAATTGCAAGGAAAAAGCTGAATATCTCCAAGATCCCCTACCATTGAATGAGATGTATGAAGTCATTCCACCAAATCCCAACTCTGCACATGGCCTCCATGAATATCTCTCTGGTCGTGGCGAATCCGGATTGGAAGCATTCCACTTGCTTTTGGCACACTTTGCTAATTGCGGCATGAGAAATAGTCTGGCCGATAATCTCAACTTGACAGGCACTGCCAGATACAACCTTGGAGTGCGCAACAAGCTGGGCCTTGCTCGAACTCCTGTGGATGAAGCTTCTCTGGCCACAAGGAAGAAATCCCTGCAAGCTGGGAGGGAGTGGTGGCGTATTTCAATCATTCAGAGCTTGCATGGGTAAATAAATTGGCTGTGGAAGCTGGAGCACCAATTCCTTTGTCCTGCGCCTACGTAGAAGAGTTGGTAGAGGACACTGGTGAGCGATTTTTCTCTGAGTACATTCAATGGATGAATGCTGAAAAACCAACCTACCATTTGGAGGATCGATGTTTGTGTGAGCTTTGTTCTGGCAGCCAACTGCACCAGCAAATTCAAAATGGTGATGCTTCAAATTCACAAAATGAGCGGACATCGCCACAATCACCAGCAGCTCAAAGGGAGAACCAAATAGTAGTCCATCAACAGCAGCAGCAAGTAGCTCCACTAATATTGGCACCGGAGCAACAACAGCAACAACAAGCAGCTGCACAGGTACAACCGCAACAACCAGCTGCACCGGTACAACAGCAACAATTCCAACAATTATTTATGTTTCCATACCAATATGCTCCAAATCCTTATCAGCATTGCTACGCTGTGATGCCTGCAATGATTCCCATGCAGCAACAGATGTACTTTTGCTGTGACAAGTTCAGAGCACACTGTAATGCCATCCCAAGGAAAAGAGGGCGGCCTCCACATGATCCACACATGATCCACACTGTTGTGGTGTAATGTTGGGATAGAATTGTTGCATTAATTTTAGATTCATTTTGTGTCAGAGGAGATCTCATGGTCACACAGAATACCACTTAGATTAGCCCCAACTGGCTTGGTGGTTTCAGTCGACACACACACAAAAATCGTCTGCTGGTTGGTTGTTAGCTAGACTGGATCTAATTTTGTAGGCCGATAGTAGCTGTACATATAGTTCTGTTGGCAACTAGCTGTATCACCGACCCGTCATACTTCTCCCTAAGGAGTGCTACGGCATCTTAGCTCTTGTCTCCTCATGGTCATGGTCGAGACGATTGTGGCAGCATCCACACTTCTAATGCTGGTGCTGTTGGCTGGTGGTTGCGTGGAACTCCACTTTGTTCCACAGGACTTAGCCAGATTCAAACAGTTCAAAACACACCAAAAAATTCGCAAATAGCAATTCGAAAAATCGAATTCGTTGCAATGCATCTTCTAGCTTCTAGCATGCCTTCTGATGTCGTTTTCATGTCTTTTGCAAGGCTTGCTCACTTGTAAGCTTGTAAGAGGGGAGAAAGACTCCCTTTTATTATGGAGAAGACCAAATGACTGCCTAGCCCCTCATATTCATAAGTAATCTGACATCCGCTCATCTGAGATGTGAATCTGACATATCCGGGAATTTGGAATCAAACCATGTCTCTTTTCTTTCTTTTTCCTTCCTTTTCCCCCTTTTCTTCCGCCTAATCCACAAAAAAGTTCTTCAACCTGAGGGCCAACAATTAGGCCAAGGGGCTTGACTTAGAGGGATCCAACAGAACAAATGAATGGCTTTTTAAAACAAGGGCAATTGAAAGTCGTGTCCAGATGTAGAACATCATTTGTAGTTGAATCAGCAGAAGGACTACTAATGGATGGGAACATATGGAAGTAGAACCTTTGGTTTATAAAGTACGTCCACGGTTCTGAGTTGTTGTATAAGCTGTTTTGTGCTTTAATGAGATGACAGACCTGATTGGCTTATATGTTCACCAAGATGCCAGCATGCAATCATTTCCTTCAGACATTGGAATGCTACGACGGGTACAGTTTTTGAACAAAGCATCCCTTTCGACCCTCCAGATGAAACTATTCTTTCATTTTGTCGTCAGTGGCAGATACAGACGTCTCAACATTCCAGCTGCCACCGAATGGTGCAGCCATTGGATCTGCATTCATCGCAGCTTTTTTCCAAGCTGGAATGTCATCTTTGGTCTCACTCGACTTGTGAGCATGCGAGTGATCGTGTGCAGCCTCGGCATCAACCATTTCTACATCTTTGTGCGCATGCGCGTGATCGTGCGATTCTGTGAAGCAACATGTGAGAAAAATTCTCACAGCAAATCAATCTCTCCCTTCTCCACCAGTAGTCTTACCTTCGGCGCCGTGTCCGTCGTCCTCGTGCTCTAGAAATCGAAGACAAAGTCAGAACGATCCAAACAACGTATCCACCTTCCCTTTCCTACTCTTCGTCTTACCTTTGTGCCCGTGCCCATGGCCGTGTTCTTTGCAGCACGATGAGAGTAAGGTTAGAACGAACCAAAAAGCAGATCCATCTATCTTATCTCTCGTGTTGGTCTTACCTTTGTGTCCATGATCGTGCGACTCCTCCTTGTGCGCATGGCCGTGGCGTGCGACTCCTCTTTGTGTGCATGGCCGTGTCCATGAGCCTCCTCTTCTTTGTGTCCATGCCATGGTCGTGAGACTCTTTTTTGTGGCCATGGCCGTGGTCATGAGACTCTTTTTTGTGGCCATGACCGTGATCGTGTGACTCTTCTTTGTGTCCATGTCCATGAGCCTCCTCTTCTTTGTGTCCATGGCCATGGTCGTGTGACTCTTCTTTGTGGCCATGTCCATGATCGTGTGAATCTTGTTTGTGGCCATGGCCATGGTCATGAGACTCTTTTTTGTGGCATGGCCGTGGTCGTGAGACTCTTCTTTGTGCCATGGCCGTGGTCGTGAGACTCTTCTTTGTGGCCATGGCCGTGGTCGTGAGACTCTTCTTTGTGGCCATGTCCATGATCGTGAGACTCTTCTTTGTGGCCATGGCCGTGGTCGTGAGACTCTTCTTTGTGGCCGTGTCCATGATCGTGTGACTCTTCTTTGTGGCCATGTCCATGGTCACTCTTTTTTGTGGCCATGTCCATGGTCATGAGACTCTTTTTTGTGGGCATGGCCGTGGTCGTGAGACTCTTCTTTGTGGCCATGACATGATCGTGTGACTCTTCTTTGTGGCCATGAGAGTGGTCGTGTTCTGTTAGAAACGAAGCAGTGAGAACGATCCATCCAACAAACCAGACCATGTTTCCGCTCCTTCCTCTTGGTCTTACCTTTGTGGCGATTGTTTTGTGTTGAACAAATAACAAGACAAGAGCATCAGACCAGTCCCAATAGTAAAACCTAATTCCTGCTTTATACCCTTCTCAAAAAATCTTGACCTTACCTTTGTGATGATGGTCGGAATCATGATCATGCCCCGAGTGCCCGTGGTCTGCTGTGCATTTGGTATGGCCATGGTAGTGTGCGTGCTCGTCGGGGTCTAGTTTTTGCAAAAAGAAACCCAATCGAACGAATAAGGGGAAGAAAAAGTAAATCCAACAATCGGTTTTCTCTGTCAAACCTCTGTCTTACCTTTAAGGCCCAGGACTGATTCATTCAAACCCTTGATATCGGCTCTGAGGGTTGCGATATATTTTCGAAGAACAACTTGTTGGGGGGCAGTCAACTGCCCAAGCACCTCTTTAACTTCATCGGGGATGCTGTTCATTGTTCAAGTGTTTCAGGGGCCTTTCCGAGAATGCGTTGGCTGTTCTGCTGTACCGTGCGTTCTTGGGTTTGCTTCAACAGATGATTTTGAGCTGGCCTGAGGCAAAGGTTCGACCGAGACAAATTCACAAAAGGTACCGCAAAAGTTTCCAAACAAGATATCTGATTTTCTATCTGTGGCACGCAGCGCTTTCGAGAGAGCAGTGTGGTCTGCACTAATTTGCTCTTCGCTGGGCTAACGTGGAACGTGGAGTGCGGAATATGACGGGAAATGTAAAGATACCACGAAAACTCCTTGTTGTCACCGCCGTTGAGCCAAGGAATTCCAAATCTAACTGCGAAAATGAGATAACAACAGAGATAGGGAGCTTTCTTGAATGAAGATCGTGTTGTTTACCGAGCCTGCAGCAATAAGCTAGTCTAGACAAACAATCGCAGACACAAGGAAGGCAAAAATGGTTACTGGTCTCTTCTTATCGGAATATGGTTGACGGTCGACGGTCATTAATTAAATATTATTGCTGTGAAACAGCTTCTGCGTTTACACTGATTAGCTAGTCTAATTACTGTAAGTTTTGAGAGCCAACGTCATCGGTACCGGTACTACTAGTAGTACCGATACTAGCTAGTACCGGAAATGGGCGAAGGGTGAAACCGGAGTGATGCCAGATGAAGGGCCAAATTGTTGCTTCTCGAGAAGGTCGTCCAACCCTTTAGTATACCGGTACATGTACAGAGTGTACCGATAGGGGAGGCCCTAAGAGTATTCACAGATTTGGTCCAGGTGTTGGACAAGGAGTGCGGCCCACCTGGAGATGGCCAGCATTGGAATCGGACATCGTGCGATACTCTCGGAGTTGGCCAGCATTGGAATCGGTCATCGTGCGGTACGCTCTGATTTGGCCCAGGAGTGGGCGCACAGATCGGCAAAGGGTACGGGAGGCTACGGCTGACTTAGACCTCCTCATTCAATTGAGGTGACCGCCACGAATCGTCTTGTGACCACAGCATTGACTTTACGTAAGGTAGGCCCATTAGCTCGTTCAAGTACATAACCTTAGTGTTTGTATTAATGTGTCTATATCAATACTATAGTACCTCTTCTGTTACTTGTTTCGCATTTCTCTGTTCAATTTAGTTCCTGGCTTGTCTCGAATAGCAGTCGTTGAGAGTCAACACACAGTTCTCTGCAATAGGATGGGAGACGTTTTTCCAGCTCGTGCCTGTCGGGGTCTTGTCCGTCGGTGTTCAAGCTTACTCTGGCCGTTGAGCCATCTGGACATTTCAGCTGTAGATGCAAGTCAGAACCATGAACGATTTCGGCTGTGACGCGACCGCAGTCATCGCAGTACCACCATTTGTTACTCTTTTCCTCCCACGGGGGGAACGGTACACACGATAGCCATGTGCAGTTTGGACATGGTGTAGTTTCACCGTCTCCGTTGAGCAGGATGATGGCTGCAATGATGATGCTAATGATACTTATGATGAGCCCAAAGAAACGAATAAGGATCTGCTTTGCTTGAGACCAGCAGCCTTCTTCCATACCAAAGAAGCTTGTTGGCAGGCGCTCCATCGTGCTCAATCCGCATAGCAAACCAAATGCCATGCCTCCCAAATCTGCAGAGACATAAAGGCTGGCACCGTGAGTTCAATGAGGGTAGCAATGCTGACACGAGAGAGCGACCGTAAGGTAACTTACGTGTAAAGTTGTCCACGTATGGAGTGAGACCAATGATCGAGTTCAGCACAATATCCAAGAGGAGAAAGACAACGACCATGGCGTGGCGATGCCTCTTCCCATTTTCTGTGACAAAATCACAGAATAGAAGCTTCCAGTTCATGATAATATCGGAGAGGCAAGCACCGATAAGACCGAAGATCCCTCCACTGGCTCCTACCGTGATGTATTCGGGGAGAAATATTGCACTCAAGATGGTGCCTCCTACGGCAGGAATGACAAACAGAATCGTAGCTTGTACAAATCCATGGCTCGTCTCAATGGCAGCACCGACAAACCAGAGTGCGAGCATATTGACAAAGTAATGCACAAGACCTGCATGCAGAACCGCGGAAGATAGCAGTCTCCATGCTTCATTTTCGTTGACGATAAGGTATGAATCCTTGGCTCCCATCCGAAGAAGCGTTTCAGCACTAGGCCCGATCATGGGATTCTGATCAAGTGGTTCAAAGCTCCAATCGTTCATAGCAATGGAGGCTATCATGACGAGAGTGCAGATCGTGCAGATTGTGTACACAAAGAACGGGCGATTCCTTCCCTTTTTCTTACTGTTGTCAAAATCTGCCCAAGAAAAGTACCTGCCGATTGGCCAACGTCTCTATGAGCATTCTGCAACCAGGTATTCACTCAGAGTTTAGGACTCGTGCACTTACGGTTCTCCGTTGGCTCGTCTCCAAGCTGCATCTTCTGCCCATTCAACATCCACTCGGATAGCTTTGAGGAGACAGAATGGGTTTGTGCCAGCAAGCAATAATGTGAGAGTGCCTGACGAAAAGTAACATAACGGGAAAGAGTTGGAGGGGGCTGTCACGACGTACCGGCCAGGTGATCGTATAGCCCAAGAATGCCAAATGGTCTCTCATCTCCATACTTTTTCCGACGCTTTTCTGATGAACGACGAACGGCGAGGGAGACTGGTTAATCATCATCATCATCATCAGGTTAACCACAAAGAGGAAAGCACAATCTGAGAATACCTACCCTGGGCAAATTGAAAGTCTCGTATCCGTCTTAAGCGTCGGAGAGGGATAAGTGTTGAGTTAGCCAGATCGCCACAACTCGTAATTGAAACCAACAGCACCATCAAAAGAACCTCACATACCTAGCGAGGGCAGGTGCCATAAAATCCTGGCCTTTCCAGTCAGCTGATAGCTTTCCAGCCAAGAGCCTCAGCTGTGCAATATCTTCCTCTCGTTGCTCCATGTTGGGATGGATATCTGAAGGAACCAAGAATCGATTTGCAGGATTGCACGCCCTTGCTACCCCATTAACATGTCCTTCCGATGGACCCGTGTCTCTGTCAGTGAGAATAAACTCATCGTCCTCGTCATCGTCTGGATCATATCCATTGTCGTCTCCAAGATCAGTATCATAGCTTTGAGCAAGGCTCGAACCGTCATCATCCCCAGGGGTGCGATCAACGACGGTTCGGACCCTCTTGAGACTACAGGTACTCTCACTTTGAGTCGGCGATACGTTCACCTCCCACGGGTCTATCGAAAATGAGGGAGTTGAGGGATACCTTGGGTCCTGGGAAGGAGAAATGACAGGCGTCAGGTCGTATTGGCCCGCCTTTCGATCACCCTTCTTGCCATGCCTGCCTACATCCACACGAAGCCGCTTCTCGGGAGTTTTCCCATCGGGAGCACGCTTTATGCTTTTGCCTTCGCTTGGAGGACTGCTTTCTTGTCGCTCGCTCATGATAATTGTATGCTTGTTCTTCTTCTACTAGTACTAATGAAGGAGTTGACGAGAGGGCGACGCTAAACAAGCATCTTTGCGGGTAATTGGCACGGAGTCTACCTGGTAGCTACCCAAAGAATATGATGTGGTTTTGATTGAAAATGTGAGGAGACTGTCGGTTTTTGGGTGAGCGGTCGGGCCGGTGCGCGGAATTGAAACGGATGAACGGTCTACCTTACCGGAAGCCAGTTTTAAATGGGTAGGTTAGGTAAGTTAAGGGTTAAAATTAATATTTACCTTATATTTTTATACAAAAATTTATTTACCACAACTACCTGACATTAAAAGTTGTCTGCCTGGCAGCCAGGTACTACTACTAGAAGTACCTGGTACCTACCCATACAGTTGAATAGTAGCGGTACAGTGTCTGTACCAGCACTGGCCATCCACGTTGGAAGATTTGGAGAGGATTGGAGGCGAGGAGCCAATGACAAAACATGAGCCCTCTGCAAGTTTCTTTCTAACGGTAGCTATGCATACGGACACGTTGCATGCTAGCTAGCTAGCGTAGCACCGCCTTGCCATAGCAACTTCTATGCGGAACTCTAGACTAGCTAGTTGCCAATGCTAATATTTCCCTTTTCTGTTTTTCATCCTTCCGTTGCAGATAGGCTGTGCAGTTCCATTTACTAATGACGATCCAGGACAAGCAAATGGTCAAGAGAATCGTGTCACATGGCTGGAACCCAATAACAAGTTTGTCCACAAGATGGAGCTCGTACACTGTAGCACACCATATTGCCACGGTTCTGCTGACCATGAGCGAAAATTGGATGAGAATACAGACACCCCACAGCAGGACAACTCCAAGATATGTGTAACTGCAGTGCTGCAGCAAAAAGATATTCCCATCTTCATCCACCAGGCTTCCGGACCTCCATCGACAGCTCAAGATCTTTGGATGGTTGCAAAGTTCAAAGGTTCTCACCTTGCGAACCCATCGAAGCCAATGCAAAGCAACTCAGCTGGATTGACAGTTCTCCTCTGACGTCACAGTTGGTTGAGCTGGCACCTGTATTTCTGTCATTTTACTAGTATAAATTGTTTATTTTATAATCAAGTTGACGTTTTAGCATTTTGTTGTAAGTTGCTTATTAGATATCAAAGATTTGAAGAATAGAAACGAAAATATTACCAATTCTTGATTTTCCAAATTTTGAACTTTGTGTATCTTTTACAAACTTCACGTTGCGTCCACCAAAAAAAAGAGAAGGAGAGGCGCGAGGAAAGATCTCGGCCAGAGGCTCTTGATTGATTGGCACTTTTGACACCCTTCTTTTCCTCTTCACAATCCAACCAAATAGCGAAACCATGAAGGTGACAAAAACTTTCCTCCTCATCGCCACATTTTGCGCTACTGCAGCCTCCGCCTTTGGGCTTCATGGAGGAAGGGGCAGCCTTGCCAAGTCCAAGGTGGGCCATGGCCTGTTGAAGAATCCTGCCATGGTTCAGGCTGTGGATATCCATGGAAATCGGTTGAACGTAAGTGCATCAGGTACTGGATGGCTCCCATGCAAGCAACTCGCAAATGCGACAAGACTTTCAAGGTTCAAGCATTGTTGGAAATGTGATGGAAACCATGGGTATCACTGTCCTCAGCGTACCAGACAGGACAAGCATGGAAGTTGACTTGTTTTTTGGTCGTGACGCCTTTTGATTATGGCAGCCGTTGAAAATGCAAGCCGTGAGGCTATTGGTTTTTGTATGCTCACAATCATTTGTTTGATCTTGCATACCCCTGCAGCCTTTGAAGGAATCCAGTGCCGCTAATGCATTGGAGACTCGCGGTGGAGATGACGCCAAAAGTGGATCCCCTGTCGATCTTGGACTTTTGGCCTACTTTGCCCTTTGGTATTTGGGAAACTACTATGTGAGTTGATAGAAATTTTGGGTCCGCTTTGGAAGGTCTTCTGCTGACGATGCAGTGTGTTTTCTTTTCTTATCTCTACTTTTGCGGTACCGGTAGTACAACATTACCAACAAATTGGCCCTCAATGCTGCTGGTGGTAAGACTGGTTTCCCAATGGCACTTTCCAGTCTCCAGCTTGCTGTGGGTAGTTGTTATGGAATTTTCCTCTGGCTTGCCCCTGATGCTCGTGACAAGCCAAAGATTACCAAGGAGGATCTTATCAAGATGATTCCTGTCAGTTTCTGCTTCATGGGAGCTCACTCTGCATCTGTTTTCGCAATGGGAATGGGCGCTGTCTCCTTTGCCCAGATTGTCAAGGCAGCTGAACCAGCTTTCGCCGCTGTGTTGGCCACTTTTGTCTACAACAAGAAGATCTCCAAAGCCAAGTGGATGTGCCTTCCAATCGTCATTGGTGGAGTTATCTTGGCATCTGTCAAGGAACTCGACTTTGCCTGGTCTGCCCTTATCTCTGCTTGCATTGCCAACACTTTTGCTGCTGTCAAGGGTAACGAGAATAAGAAATTGATGGAAACTGCCGGCCTCAAGGATCGCCTCGGCACCGTTGGTAACCAATTTGCCATCACCTCTATCATGGCCTTCCTCTTCAGCATTCCCTTTGTCCTCGCCACGGAGGGCAGCCGTTTGGGCGAGTTCTTCGAGCTTGCCAAGACTACTCCCGCAGTGTGGAAGAACCTGGTCGCTTCCGGCCTTTGGTTCTATGGCTACAACGAGGTTGCCACCATGACATTGAAGAAGACCGGCGCCGTTACACAAAGTGTTGCCAACACAGCCAAGCGTGTCATTGTCATTGTCGGTGTGGCTCTTGTCTTGGGTGAATCTCTTGATCCCATCAAGCTTTTGGGTTGCTCTATTGGTATTGGTGGTGTCCTCCTCTACAGCATCATCGACAATATTGTCAAGCCCAATTGATTTTAAGATGCTACATTTCATGTCAAAATGCAATCTCCGTGGCAACCAACTGCAAGTTAACAATAAATCGATGTATTCTGTGATTCTGTGAAACAGAGACGACAAATTAAGCTTCCGCAAGGAGATCAAATTGGTCAATAGTGTGGTTTAAACTTTGCAAACTACAACTCATCCTTCTCTGGCTCGTCCGTGTCGTCTTCCAACTCTTGCTCTTCGTATTTCTGGTTCAGAATCTGCTGCAACCACTTGAAGCCGGAATCGTCTCTTAGCTTATCAACTTTGGTGTTGAAGTTGGTGGCCAATTGCTTGTACTGCTCTTGCAATTTCATTGCTGCAGTGTCGAATCTGTTCTGTTCCTCGTCCACTTTTCCAATTACTTGTTTTTCCATTGCCTCCAATTCATCCAATGATTTTTTACTTAGTTTCTCAATGATCTTTTTTATTTTGGCATCGCAAGCATCTAGATTCGTTACTGAACAAGGCAAACTCTTGAGGTTCTCTTCAGCGAAGGAAGACAGAGACTCATAGTCAAGTTTTCCGCGGTAAAGTTCTGGGCTCTGTGGGTCGCCCCAATAAATGGAGGGATAACCCGCTACCTCAAAGCTCTCACAAATCAGTTCTGTCTCTTCGTCGTCACAAAACACCTCTCTGACAAATCCAATAGAGTGGTCTTTCCACTCATCTTTGAGTTTTGCCCAGTCTTCTTCTGTTTCGGCACACTCTTCGCACCTATATGTACCGTGCAATAAACATGAACAACGAGTATTAGCAACCGTCTGCTGCTATTCAGCTAACTGCCATGTTTCTCATGAGTACTGTTCTAGTCACTAGTCACTACTACCTACTACTTCTCCAAATGAACTTCAAGTATCTCACCACTTTGTCACAAATCGAATGAAAATGGCTTTATCGCTTGTCAATTCATCAAAGGCTTCAGCTGTCAGCGCTTGTTGGTCCCCCGCAGCCCTCGAGACAAGCGATAGCAACAACAACAACAATGTAACACGCCACATGGCAGCAACAAACCCCTACTCTAGTATTTTCGGCAAATGTGCGGATGGAAATCATGAAGAAAAAAAGAAATGACAATAAAATTCATATGCCCTCTGGGTCGTCTCCGTTTCCAGTACTAGTTTAACCCGTTTACTAATAATACCGGTACAGGAAAGCGTATGGTGAATAGAACCGAATCAATCATGTGGCTTATATTTAGGGTTTAGGTTTGGCAATTTCGAAGTCAACGTGGTATATGTGAGGTTGTAAAAGTTTTGTGTGATAGTATGTGTTAAGTGCAGGGTTGGTTTTCTTCTGCTGGGAGCTTGGTGTCTTCTTCTTTCTCTGTTTCCTGCTCTTCTTGGTCGGTACTGGGGTATTCTGCAATAGGATCGTCCGCAAGTTCCGCAGCTTTCTTCATACCATGTGGAATGTCATCATTCTGACTATTCGCATGTGACACTTTGGCCGATGTGGTTCATGGAACAGGTGGAACGGGAGATGACGTATTTGGTTGCATTGGAACTGAGAATGGTTTGCGAAT